CAACAATGCATGCGAGTTCCCTTTTCTCCATATCCTCAGTAGCACTTGTTTCTTGTCTTGATACTAGCCGATCTTACAGGTATGAGTGATCTCTCATTGTGATTTCAGTTTGCATCTCTGATGATTAGTGATGTTGAGCATCTTTTCATGTGACTCTTGGTCATATGTATGTCTTTTTGGAAAAATGTTTATTCAGGTCCTCTGTTTGTTTTTTAATTAGATTGGGGTTTTTTTAGTGTTGTTTTTTAGTGTATTGTTCTTCTTTTGTTTTGGATATTAACTCCTTATTGGATATATGATTTATAAATATATTCTCCCATTCAGTAGGTTTCCTTTCTGTTTTGCTGATAATTTCCTTCACTGTGTAAAAAAGGTTTGTAGTTTGATGTTGGCCCAATTGTTTAGTTTCATTTTTTGTTGCCCTTGCCTAAAGAGACAGATGCAAAAAAATATTGCTAATACCTATGTCCAAACGTTCACTGCCTATGTTTTCTTCTAGGTGTGTTACAGTTTCAGATCTTACATTTAGGTCTTTAATCCATTTTGTATATTGTGTAAAAAAGTGGTCCAGTTTCAGTCTTAGGAAAATAGCTGTCCAGTTTTCCCAGCACCATTTATTAAAGAGACTGTCTTTTCCCCATTGTATATTCTTGCCCTTTGTCATAGACTAATTGGCCATATAAATGTGGATTTATTTCTGGGCTCTCTTTTCTGTTTCATTGATCTGTGTGTCTCCTTTTTGTGCCAGCACCATACTGCTTGATTACTATAACTTTGTAGTGTAATTTGAAATCGGGGAGTGTGATAATGGGATAATTTTTTTAATGATTTTTTTATGCTAAGCAAAAAAGAAAAGTGTTGGATGATGATTATTTTTTAATGAAGGGAGAAAAAAACAACAAGAACCTAGTACTTCAGTCATGAAAATTGAATAGGGAAGTAAATAAAGTATATTTGTATTTTCTTCTTTGATTAGTACTCATCTTTGCCGCAGTCTTTTGGGATATTTGGGCAGAGAAAAGAAAATTTTATTGCAGGCTGTATGTTTTCTTTTTCTAAATGAGGCAGATATTTTATGAAAATAAATGTGGCAAGATGTCTCAAATAATTTGTTTAACAAGTTATACTGTATTCTCTTCCCTTTTCTTTAATGTGATTGCTCAATGATAAGTTGAAACTCTGTTCATAAATATAATTGTCCATTAGAAAAGACAGAACTACTTCTGTCTTCTGATTACCTAAGGAGGAAGTCGGCTTCCTGTGTAAGGAACAATGCCAGATTTTACAAGCCCTCTTGTGTAACCTACCTTGACAGGTGTTCTCTTTTGAAGCACTTCTAGGAGATGTAAACATGTGGTTTTTCTTGTCTTGGGCAAAATAATCCTCTGAAGAAAATCCATTACAAAGTGATTTTGCATAGCCATTTAATGTTGACAATTGCTTTGAAAATCTTTGTAGGCCCATTGTTTTGTTAGTAAGCATATCTTTTTTAGGCAGTAGAGGAGTTTGTGATCTATTGTAAGTAATAGTAGCAACCAAATGTTGATTATAATAGCAGTAGAAGGGAGTCTTTCCTTTCTGATAACAGTTTAACATTATCACTTCTTCGTGGGGTTCAGTGCCTTCACTCTATGAGGAAACTAATGCTTAAGCTGCCTTCCCAAAATATACACCAGCAAGCCCTAGCAGTGAGGTTCTTATGCTGATACGTCTGCCACTGTGGCGTACACCATTTAAGAGACTCATGTCTAGTATTTGATCACTTAGTAGGTCAGCTGAGCACATCCTTAGGGCATCAGCAAGAAGAAGCAAAAAAAACTTTTTTAGTGGAGAAAATTTGGATATTTCAAAAACAAGTGTCAAATTAGTCAATAAGGGGAAAAATCAGAACCTTACTGAGGTTCCCCTACATTTAGGTTTTGGCACACACAGCAGCAGTCAGAGGAGGATACCATAATCCTTCCAGTCCTAGGGCTTGTAAAGACTTTAACCTAGTCCTGTTTATGGTGAATATTTTTTGTAAAACAAATAACCTTTCCTAGTTTATATAATCATCCTTAATCTTTTTTTTGGAGGGTAAATCTGATTTTTTTTAAAAAACATAGTACAAATTCACCTAAAGTGAGCTACAGCTCTGTTCTATTGGACTTGATAAAATGTTACGCTCTGTCAATGTCATCTAGAAGAAGAATGGCTTTTTGAGCAGTTAACATTGAGTTGAATTCTGTCCTGGAGAGCTTAGGTGAGTTTAAAGGCCCATCCACCATGACACGATTGTACATGCTTCAGAGATGTTTATATTGAGTGGGAACCGTGTTCTCTTGGGTTGCTTTGTTGCAAAACACTTTGAGGGGTGTGCAGGGATGCTGCCTCTGAATAGATCAATAGGTTTATAATTTTTCTCATGATACTTTTTTTCTTCTTCTTGCTTAAATTTAAGATTCTTTCATAAACATGTTTTTTGCATTCAGAAAAAAAGTGATTAATTCAGTATCAGGGGTTATCAACCTGGCATTTTCATTAATATCATTTATTGAGTTTTTAAAGTATAAATATGGCTGGATCCGCAAATCCTCGTCCTAGTTGCAAAAAGCCCTCAGTATATTGGATTTTGCTGCTCATGATTCAACATTGTAACTTTCTCCATCCACCTCCGGTGTTTTAAACTTTCTGTTTTAATATTCTCATTGAATTAATGTGTCTTCCGTTGTAAACCTCTTCAGATGCTTTGTGGATGAGGCAGGAGGGTGTTAATGATAAATATGGAATAAAATGCCATTTCCTTCTGGTGTATTCAGTTCTCCACTCCTTGCCAATTGTCTTGGTGTTTGGCAACTGGAATCACTAACCTTGTTTATGGTTCAGAAGTGAAAGGCAGGCTGCCAGCCGGTTGGGTTCTGGCACTGGTGTGATGCTTGAGACAGATGAATCAAGTTTAGCATGGGCTAGTTGCAGAGATGGCCACCATCCTCTCTTGCTGTCCTAATTAATGTCACTCTCAGCAACAGCTCTGGCAGGATGGCTTCTTTAAGTCCACTGCCACATGTACCAGTCAGGCGGATGGGGAATTGGAGCTTGCTGTGCTCACTGTAAGGAAGCCTTCTCTTTTTGGCTCCTAAATGGTTTCCAGAGCTGTCAAAATAATACCACTGGCAGACACTTCACAGCTCAAAAGAGCAACTTGGAGAGGAAAAGGAGGACTTCGTGGACCCTGGGAGAAAAGTTTTGCTGCTGGGCACACTGTGCATAAATGCTAACTGAATGTCCTTCCAGTTGCGTGACTCACTGTTGTGCCTCGACAGTGGAAGAGTCACTCAACAGAAATGAAGAGTGCCTCACACGGGCGTTTGTACTTTAAACCAACTCTTTTTTGTAGGCTGCAAACATCTATGTGTAGGATATTGTTCTGCCGATCCCAAGTACATCTTGCAGTGGTGAAGGGTTGGTGGGCTGCCTGCTGCTCATTAGAGATCCCGTCTGGCTCTTTTCCTGCAGAATGAGTGGTAGATTGCTGACACCTGTTTTCCCATCCAGCCTGGGTATGTGAAGTGTGCGTTAGGAATGCCTGAAAGTGCTTCCTTGTGTCCAGGTCTGTGGAGCTTGGTGTTGCTTGGAGAGGAGGGGGCAGGGGGCTCAGCACTAGGAGGGGAGATTAAAAAATATCAGTGGTGAGAAACTGCAATTTAAACTGAACTGAGAGTCTCATCCTCATTTAGTGCCTTCTGATTGCACTCTCCATGTGTCCTCTGCATGCCCTGATAAACCTGGTCATCCACTGAGCAAAGTAGAAAGAATACATGTCCTGTATGTGAGAAGACCTCAGATGTGTCTCAGGTAACATGAGTATGAGGTTGAGGCTATGAACACATAAGAAATGGAATAAAAACAGTCCACTCTTAAATTTATCAACACTATTTAAAAACAGATTTGGCCATAGTATGTAAAATTCAAGCATGTTGATGGTATGATCAATTTCTTTGGACAATTCTGTCCATGTATTTACTCTTCCCACCTTTACCTACTATAGTCTCATAAAAAAGTGTTAGATGGTAGACCAGAAGGCCTAATGTGTGCCTTTGTCACAAATATAGAGTGCCTGCTGTCTGCTGTGCATTAGGCTGAGTACAAGGGGGTAACAAGCAAAAGTCAGACCCCCTCCACCCCTGCTTTTTCAAGTGCTAGCAGTCTCCTGGAGAAAAAAGGACATGTGTCAGAGGAGCCATAATGCTGCAGCATATCTGATAAGCAAACAGCTGATCCGTATTTTCAGTGGGTTTGGAGAAGGAAGGGAACTGAGTTGGCAGGTCAAGGAGGATGTGGAATCTGTTCTGAGTAAAAGATGAGGAGAAGTCATTGAGAGTTAGTGAGTGGAATGTGTGTATGATGCTCTTCCTCTGTATCAGTGGGCTGTGGAAACTAGTGGGTATGTGCTTTTTTTTTCAAGTGCTTGCATCATTTTCCCCTGACTCATTTGTGGGACTTGGCCAGCACTCCTTGTGAACATTTGCCTCCATTTGTGAACTGTGGATGAATGGGGTTAGGGTTGGGTCATGGCCTTGGACCAGAGTGAAATTAACTGTCTCATAATGTGATTGAACTAATGACCTTGGCCTCATTACCACTATGTTTTAACCAGTTGAGTCCATCAAACATTGCAGAAAGGGTAATCAAGGTGTCTTTTAGGAGGAGATCATTATAGCAGTAAACATAGGAGTGAGATCAAAGCTGGGTTCTTCCCTCATGTAACACTCAAATATTTATCTCTTCATCCCTGAGTTTATATACTGTTTCTACATCTCATGAAAATATGGTGGGCAAAACAAGGATACCACAGCTTGTTATTGCTTTTGACATAATGCAAATGTGTTAATTCATTTTTCTTGCACAGTACTAATGGTTGCTGCAGAGTGAAATATTTTTGAGCAACTATACTGTTTCTAACTTTAGGTGTGTAGTGGCCCATAAATTTATTGATGATGCCTTTTTCTTCTTCTTTGAAGTCTGAACAACCCAGTCCTGCCAGTTCCAGCTCCAGCTCCAGCTCCAGCTTCACACCGTCCCAGACCAGGCAACAAGGTATCAACCTCTCCCAGGCAAACTCTGAGACCTTTTTCTCATAAAACATCTTAATGAGTTGATTTATGGCCTGTTTTCTACTGTTTTATTATTTGAGTGATAACTTGGCTTTTATGCAGTTGTATTTATTTCCCCTAGGAATGCACTCGAGCATTGTTCTGATGTATGAGGCCAGCCTCTAGAAATTCCCCTTTTTCCAGTGGCTGCCATCAGAGTCCCATTTTACAAAAGGATTATAGACACAGCCCATTCCAGGGAGTTCCCAAAGGAAATACAATAGCAAAAGCTGAACTTGAGAGGCTTTGACATAGAGAAATAGGTTTTTACTCTCCCTCCCAAACATCTTTCATTTTATTTATATTTCTACACATCAATAGACCTTTTTTTATTTTGGCAAGTGTTAATTTGCTGTCTTTAAAAGCACATTTTTCCTCTTCTCAAACTCTAAAGAAATTTAAATTCAAAGAAATTGAACCAGAACATTAACTGAATATATTTTCTACTTGTTTTGTGTGTGGAAATTCTTCAAATAAGGGTTCCTAGTTTTGTTTTATTTTACTATGAAAAGTGTGGTAATATCAAGGGATAATTGTTTCTTGGTGTCATGTTGCACATTACCTTTTTCATTGACCACACTGAATTCCTGATGGCTTGTATATTTTGGAAAGGATTAAATTGTATGTATTTGGGCTAAGGCTAAGCTCCCAGGAAAAAATAAAGGACACTGATCGTTTTGACAATTTAGATTTCTTGTTCCACTGACTTCCAAAGAAATAAGCCCACTACAAAAGCAGAAAAATTTGGGTTTTGTGGAACGTGAGATTGCAGAGTCAATACTTTAGAACTGAGGTAGTGATCGCTCAGATGCCTAATCCAGAATGAAAGTGCCTCTCTCACTTTCTCGGTTGCCTTTACAGTCTCGTGTATTAAGATTAGAAATATCCATCTTATTTTCATCACATTTAGAGTAGTAAAGTGAAAATAAATAAGCCACCTTGAGTTGTTTTTTTTTTTTCTTTCCCGTTTTTATCCTGTTCTAGAATAAAATCAGTTATAACTTGATTTTTTCTGTGCCATCTAATACTGGATATTCACTTGAATTTTTTGGGCAACTGATTTTTTACATGGTCTTATTTATGTAAATACATTCTGGTATTTTGTCAGGAAATTCTTAAAAAGCAAACGAAAAATTGGCTGTGAAGAATTGTTGGAACAAGATCTTATGTCCAAGATCAATATGAAGATCAGAGATAGGACATTACACCATGGAATTGAAATACTTTATAATCTGAACTTGACTGAAATGCTGACTTGACCTGAAATTGACCTTGAAATAAAAGGAACAGCTAAACCTAAATAGATCAAAAACCACCACACAAAGGCTGGGTTGCCAAGAACAAGTTACGACCACGGTGATTTAAGGATAATTGTTTCTTGGTGTCATGTTGCACATTACCTTTTTCATTGACCACACTGAATTCCTGATGGCTTGTATATTTTGGAAAGGATTAAATTGTATGTATTTGGGCTAAGGCTAAGCTCCCAGGAAAAAATAAAGGACACTGATCGTTTTGACAATTTAGATTTCTTGTTCCACTGACTTCCAAAGAAATAAGCCCACTACAAAAGCAGAAAAATTTGGGTTTTGTGGAACGTGAGATTGCAGAGTCAATACTTTAGAACTGAGGTAGTGATCGCTCAGATGCCTAATCCAGAATGAAAGTGCCTCTCTCACTTTCTCGGTTGCCTTTACAGTCTCGTGTATTAAGATTAGAAATATCCATCTTATTTTCATCACATTTAGAGTAGTAAAGTGAAAATAAATAAGCCACCTTGAGTTGTTTTTTTTTTTTCTTTCCCGTTTTTATCCTGTTCTAGAATAAAATCAGTTATAACTTGATTTTTTCTGTGCCATCTAATACTGGATATTCACTTGAATTTTTTGGGCAACTGATTTTTTACATGGTCTTATTTATGTAAATACATTCTGGTATTTTGTCAGGAAATTCTTAAAAAGCAAACGAAAAATTGGCTGTGAAGAATTGTTGGAACAAGATCTTATGTCCAAGATCAATATGAAGATCAGAGATAGGACATTACACCATGGAATTGAAATACTTTATAATCTGAACTTGACTGAAATGCTGACTTGACCTGAAATTGACCTTGAAATAAAAGGAACAGCTAAACCTAAATAGATCAAAAACCACCACACAAAGGCTGGGTTGCCAAGAACAAGTTACGACCACGGTGATTTATTAGCCTCAACTTTTCAATACATGGATTAACCTAACAAAACATTCAATTTACTAATAGATCTTTCTGTTTCTTTTTAGGTGTAATTTTTCTTAGGGAATAAAAATGCAGAGAAAAACCCCCTAGGAAATAGTGATTTTCTAATGAACATTTTGGGGCATCTATTATAAAAGCAATAGTGTTTTGGCAGAGGTTGCATCCCAGAAACACCAAATTTTGTCTTGTAAATTGCATAAATATATATAATAATGGTTATTTTTAACCAGTGTTCAGGGCAGTGAGCATCATTCCCAGGCCCAGTATGGCTAAGTGTGTTTGTAGTAGTATGTTTGATTGCTTGTGGTTCACTGTCCTTACTCAGGTCCTTTAAGGTCTATAATGAAAGATCTGCATTCTGATGACAACGAGGAGGAATCAGACGAGGCAGAGGACAATGACAATGACTCCGAAATGGAGAGACCTGTAAATAGAGGCGGCAGCCGAAGTCGCAGGTGAGTGTCCTGGCAGGAAGAAGGTTCTCTGTGACAGAATCATATCTTTTCACCAGACGTAACGATACACCCGCAGCAAAGGCGTGGAACACTGCAAACAGTGGCAGTGAATGGTCATGTTCTTTTAAGTTGGCATGCTTACACTCCCATTTACAGGAAACTTTTCTCAGTAAGGAGAGGCTTTTCCTCTAAAGAATTCATAAGGAAAATGTCCTATTAGATGTCCTTGTTCTTGAAAGTACATGCCAACGTGACAGGACCGACTGTTGAAATAAACTGTTTCATTTGAAGAATTTGTGTAGATCCATTGCTGTAGGTCGCCTCAGAATTTGAGGCAATGAGTTTGCTGTTTGTAGTTAGAAATACATAATTGGCTTTAGTGAGTTATGTGTGTGACCTAATTAAAACTGTATCACCTGTGTGTGTTTTCCAGAAAATAAATTCCTTTTAAGTGTGCTGACAGTTAGGTTCTTTAAGTAGCTTTAATGCTGTGAGGCTTAATTCTACATTATAAGGTGGTAATTCATGTCACTTATAATTAATAGTCAATTCAAAATTGCCTTGAGGATTTTATTTCTTTATCATGAGGAAAACAAATAGGCATGCTTACTTTAATGTGTTTTGAGTAGAAAAAATATGAATCTACTTGAACTTAAAATCCAATTACATTTATAATATCATATTAAATCTTTTCTCATTATCCATTACTATGTAGAAGGCCCTGAAATTCCTAAAAAGAACATGATCTTAACCCAGTCTGGACAGACCATATGTTTCCTTTTTGGTAATTCCTCAGTGTCCTTTGAGAAGAGGCTACTTTGTGAGCCTGCCAGATCTCTCCGGGAGTCTCTGTTATGGCCATCCTCGGTGTTTATACTCAACACCTCTTTCCCCACCTTGTCTCTCAAATTCACCCAGTTGTGTTCCCTTAAAATAGGAGAAATGAAGGAATCTTAAGGCCCTGGCATTACTACATTACATTTCCCTTTAGAAGTCTTTACTCTGACAAGAAGTAAACTGGTAGAGCAAAAAGACCAAAAAATGGGATCAAACATCGAGTCAAGGAGCTTATTTATAACAACCAAAATCCTGGCTGCTGGCTGCTCTACAGTGTACCTGATGAAAAATGCATGACCTCTTTAGACAATTTCCCAAGTTATTCCGAAGATCTAGATATTCTGTGATGAGCTGTGGCCCACTCACTCGCAGCCCCATCCCCCGCATCAGCCTGGATCATGCCCATTTGCGAGTTGTCTAATTTGATGCACGTTTTTGGAGATGCACTTCTTTTTTCCCTGCTTGATACGTACTGCGAGCGCTGTGCCAGTGTAACGTTTGATGTTCATTGCACTTGTGAAGCCTCAACTGTTTAATCAGTTTAAATACTCAGCCTTCCACTTCAGTCAAGAAGCATTTTAAAGCAGCGCTTCAACTGAACACTTCATTAATGTAATTTGGTTAAGGAAAACAAGTTCCATCAGTTTTTGCTAAAAGGGTGTCCCAGTGTATCCTTTTTATTTCCTATCTTGTATCTTGTCTATCTGAATTATATTATAGAGCTAGAACGTGATTGCCGATTCAGAGTGAAAGAAAAACTATCCTGATTTCTACTGGGTTTTCTGTTTCTGAGAAGAATATTATAGTAGGTCACCATATAACCAAAGAGAAGGAGTAAAAACACTGAAGGACGTTTCTGAAGAAGGGCATATATTCAGCAGAATAGAATAAAGAAATATCTCCTACTCTGGCTTAAAGAAAATTACATTTTGTTCTGAAAAGACAAAAATGGGGTGGGGAGTGATACTTTTATTGTCTTCAGTTATTGAAAAATATTATATTTTTCTAAAGCAGTTCTCCCACTCTGTCGCTTCCAGTTGCTATAGTGTATTTCCAGTGAGTTGTCTGTGTTCAGAACCAGGGAAGCCTCGAATCGTTGCATCATCAGAATGACTGGTAGAGGGTCCAGCATGTTGGGCTTCGTGCTTCCCATCCTCAGTTGTCACCCTGAGCTGCCGCTTGTGCCTGGGCTGTTGGCCACATTCTTCTTAGTAGTTGCTGCCACTCCTGCAGCTTGTATTTTAGTCACATTTGTAAGATTTTCACCTGTAGCAAAGTCAGGGGTGGGGGGGAGGAAAAGAAAAGGGAGTAACCTCCAAACTGGCTAATTTTGTTGACCCTTCTGCAAGCTTGTTTGATATGCTTGATGATAGTAGGTGCATGGAGATGGAGCAAAGAGATAAGTGAGTGCGTGAAGCCAGTAAAGTATATGAGGCCAGCTGTGGGTCACATTGCTTGGGTTTAAATCCTAGCCTCACCACTTTTACCTTTGGGATCCAAGGCAAGTGCCCTAGTTTCTCTAGGTCTCAGTTTCCTCATCTGCGAAATGGAGATCGCTAAATGAGAAATAACAGGTAAAACAACACAGTTCCTTACAAAGCCAGCCCCAATACGTGTGAGTAGTTACACGAGTTAACACATGTTTTCAGTGACTCGTGTTTGGATACTTCACTCTCTGCATCTATTTCCTTGGACATTTCAAGAATTGTCTGTAACAATGCATGTGCCTTGACCTTCTGCTTCTTTTCAGAGTTAGCTTGAGTGACGGCAGCGATAGCGAGAGCAGTTCTGCTTCTTCACCCCTACATCACGAGCCCCCACCACCCTTACTAAAAACCAACAATAACCAGGTAAATTGCTGGGTTTGCACTTTTCAAGACTCTGTAGAAATAGATGTGATCATTTTTGCAAAGCACACAAAACTTTACCCCTTATTTTAAACTAAGGCTTTCTTGATATCAGTAAATGAGAATCTACAACCTTAGGAATAAACACATAGTTGGGGTAAAAGAACTTCTGTTACCATGAAAAGTATGTTCCGTTGGATGGGTTCATTAAATAGATGCCAGAAAGTGGGATGGTGACAAAAAGTATTGCCCATTTACTCTGGACGTCTGTGTATTATCCCCCTGAGTAGTAGGTGGGCGATTTAATGAATTAGGAAAAATATGACCTTTGGAACTAGTATAAAACTTGGTTCTTTGTTTTACTAATTTACAGTATATTTTACTGGTAGGAAAATAACTTAACTTCTGATCCTTAGTTTACTCATCTGTGAGTGGGAATATTAATACTTGCCTTGCTGGCTTCTAGGAGGATAACAGTGTATGTCAGGAGCCTGAGGCAGTGCCCATACCTATTTGGCACTCAGTTGATAGTAGATGTTTCCTTCTACAGTGCTCTGAGGATTAGGGGCCTCTGTGCTCATCCAAGAAAAGAGGATCATCACTTGAGATTGTAAAGAATTGTTAATGAAATACAGAGCAAATAATGTTCATTGTCATTATTATGCATCGAGGTAAGGGAAGGTTTATTGATTTGATAGTCAACTCAGAATATAGTGATTTGAATAAGGTTTAGGCAAAGCTCTGATGAAGAGCTTTTGTTAAATGATACTTTACATGCTTCCTCTAAAATAAAATATTTTCAAGTATCACAAATATGCAAAGGCCTTAGTGTGCACTAAGTTGATTCTTTCATTACCATAAGTTGTTCCTGTCTCTTTGTTTTAGACAGATTCCCTGTGACCTCTACAACCATTTCTTAATTCAAGTGACCATGTGAACATTATTAACTTGGAAATAACAGAACTGCATTTTTCTAAAATTATTTTGTTTCACAGGTGTCCTATAATTTTAAGTGTTCTTGTTCTTGAATTTGTGATCTTTGTTTTACTGGGAAGATACGATTTTTATAGCTGAAGGTTTTTTTCTTTTTAAATGTTACATAAAGCATAGGCAAAGATCTCTTAACATGTAAAACTCCTTGTTTATAAAGTTTATCTACAACTTAAGCTTCACTGTGCAGTGGGCATACTGTCAGTGTGCTCTTTACCTCCCCAGCTGGAGTTCAGCAGCAGTTTCATTGTGTCCTACATATGAATGCGAGGCCACCCTCCTCCTCTGTTACCGACTGGTTGTTCAGGAGTTAGTGCATTCCTACTCCTCCTCCTAGCTCCCTACATGACTGCCTTTCCCCACCTCCAGTGCCAGCCAGGCCCAGCGCCCAGCCAGCGTTCACCTCTGGCATGGCTGCCCAGCACCCCAAGTCAAGCATTTCAGGGGAGTGTGAAGACTAAGCATGGTCATTATCGCCCACTGAGAAGAGCCCTGGGCTGGCTGACTAGATAACTCGGGATTTATTTGTAATTTGTGCTTCAGGGTGAGCTGACAAAAGAATCGAGTCTGGACCTTGAATATATTTTATATTCATTTACACTTACTCAGCTGATTTCTGCTGCCAGTGGGCCATGCGTTAGCCTGCGGGTGCTGCACGGGTGCAGTGCAGCAGTGCCCGGTGCTCAGGGCAGGGGGCTTCGCTTTTGTGCCCCTCGTTAAGTTCCTTCGGCACCTTTCCCAGTCAGGGTTAAGACTGCTTGCTAAATAAATATAGCTCCGACCAGCCCCCTACCTTGCCTTTCAACCCTTCCTGATGGGCAGTCCTGAGCTGACCCTAGCTTCCAGGAGCGGTTTGGATTTTTTAAGACTTCTTTGGGAACCTATCTAAAGAAACAAACAAAAATGAATAATGCTATCTATTGGAGAGGGTAAAAATGACTTTATCTGCTTAAATAGCATACCACTGGTTCCTTGGCATACATTACTCAACAAATGTAGCTTCACATGTACACATCATCAATCTGTCAGGAATAGCCAGTTATGTCACTTTTTCCACACCCCTTAATGCACAGTAAGTCCATATGCATTCCCTTTTATCTGGTCTAGGGTAGGAAGTACATGTACCATGGAGTGCTTACCTGCCTGGTGCTGTGTCTTGGAACTAAGAGAGCAAGAAAAGGTTTTAAAAACTTGGCTTAGTATTGATGTCTTAACCTTTCAAATCACCTGTATTGGGTCGGGTGTGATGCTCTCCCTTTAAGTCCATGTTTGAGGCCTTGTTAAGAAACGCCTAGCTGTCCTTGTCCTTAGTTCTCCATGCTGGCAAAGGGAAATAGTAAAAATTTCTTAAAAATCAAAAAGTCACTTAATTTCACCCTAAATATGTTTTTAGTCTTATATTTGAACATCTGCATGTGATAATCTGAAATTTCACATCAAATAAAATAGTTGAAAACATACTGGGGAGGCCCAACTGCAGTGGAAAGACTGCGTTCCCTTTTTCCACATTCCTTGGCTGTTCTCCGTCTGCAAGCGGATACTGATCTCACACACCAGGCAAAACTGAGTTTTCCTTACCTTTTCTCAAATCTTCCAGGGACTAGGGGAGAGGGACAGTACTGAGCCCAACATTTTCTAACTATTAAAAAAAAAGTGACCATGTCTCAACAAAGCAAGTAATTATCCTGAGGATCTTGAGGAGCCACTAGGTCATTAACATGAAAGAGCCATTGGTAGAGGATCCATCTGCTGAATAATTGAGTTGTCAGTCCTCACAAAAGGACACAGAAAAATAATAATCTTGAAAATGTGATTCTCGAGCCATATCCTCAGATTATTAGGACAGATGCAACTAATCACAGTCCTATTTTCAGAGACCACCATGTATATACACGGAGCATTGTGGCAGCCTGGATGGCTGTTTCCCGCAGGACAGTGTAATGGGGCATCTTAGCGAATGCTATGCCATTTTAACCAGACATGTTTTTTTTTACTCCAAACGTCCCTTATGTAGATTTTAAACAAAATCAAAATTCCAGATCCTTTTCGGCTGAAAAAAGGAAGGAAGTGATCCATTGGAAGTTAATATTCAAAATATCATAAATCACCTATCTGCCTGCCAGGCATGTGGAATGAAATTAAAGAGTCTATCCAGTTAAACTGGTTTGCAATAAGCCCGTGCAAGACAAGGTGCTGTACTTTTATATTCTGGAGTCGTTTCCCTAAAGATAAGAAATGATCATAAATAAAACAATTGTTTTCAGCATGGCTCAGCTCTCTCAGAATGGAGTTTTGACAAAGCTGTTTATTTTGGAGCAGAGAGAGATCAAAGAAGGAAGATTAACTGAGCCCTCTCTGGGCAGCCACTCCGTAACTTGAGGCGGATCACTGACACCCGGGGCTTTTGTTCCTGCCACTGCAGCTTCAGAAGAAAGAAACTAGGGTTTCAGCGTCGTTTGGCCTTCTGTGCTGTAGCACTTTCGGAATGTGTAGGGTGGGACTCACTCTCCCTGAATGTTCTATTTTCAGCTTTGAAGAAAGTGGTAGAACTCTATAAACCTAGTTAGCAAAGTTCCGTTGCAAATAGAGAGTTCTCAGTCACTTTGACCCCCAGAGTACAGTGACTTGGGGGAAGGAAAGAGGGCCAGAGGCCGGGTGGCATGGCATGCGAACAAAATGCAGTTTTGTAATAATGCACAATGCAGGGAGACTGCCACAGTTGTTTTCCCTCTTGCCTGAAATCTCAGCAGATTGTCTCTGCAGTGCCCAGCCTCTATCTGAGTTGGCGAGGAGTGCCATCTACTGACCTAATTACTCCTAGGTCTCCGAGCTCGGCGTTTTCCCTTGAGGTCTCATTTCCAACAACAATAAAGAGAAGGAAATTCTGAATGTAGTGGAGTGTTTGGTTTCCTTTACAGTGGAGCATGTTAAAAATGATTGCCTTGCCTCTGCAATTAAGTAATTTCCTTGTGTTGCCAAAAGTATTGTATTTAAAGTTAGCCTGGTCGAACCGGTCATCTGGTTATCTTAATGTTAAAAATGAATAAATAAAGGCGATTCTCAGGAGAGAATCTGTTAGAAGCTTACTTCTTAACCCATGCATTATTCTAAATTCTAAAGAAAAGATACCCTTTTAGAAATACGTGGTCTTTTCTAAAACGTCATGGTCCTGTCCTCAACAAGTAAAATGTTTATTAGCAGATAAAATTTTTTTACTGCTGAGGGGTAGTCTAGATGTTATCTTGTTCATCTCTCATTTTTTGATGCCCCAGAATGTTAAATAATAGGGCTAGCACCTGAACTTTGATTTCTGGGCCCCATCAATGTTCTTTCTACTACAAATTAAAAGTGGACTCATTTTAAAATCTTTGTGTCATGGAGTATAGTAGACTCTTTGAACAGAACTGTGATTGTGTGTGTGTTAGAGCAGAGAATGGATAATGAGGTGAGCAATAGCAATAGGAGACTTCTTAAATATGTCATTTTTGGGGGACATTTTCCTCCTTAAGTTAGCTTCAGATTATAACTTAATTGATAATGAGGCTATCATGAAGAAGAAATTACTTTGCTTTTTATGTTTATATACATTAGTAAATACTCATCAACAAATTCAGTGGTTCTCAGCCATTTTAAGCAAGGGCCATTTAAAAACAGTTCCCTCATAATCCTCAATCTTGAAGATTCTAGTAAATCCACCATATTTATTAAATTGTTTTTTCTCCTTTTTATTAAAATTAGAAACATAACTCCCCACAGAAGCTTCTGAAACAGAATGTAAAACTACTACCCAGAACCTAAGGTATAATTGTTCAGATAAAAAGAGAGTGCTTGGTATTTTATTGTTGATAAGCACATCCTTTCTTGAAGCACAGAAGGTACTCCTGGCTCCTTATTTCTTGAGTTGAGAATCCCAGGCTGGGAGCAGCCAACGTTAACTGACGCCATCTGCGTTCCCAGTGCTACAGCAGTTTAGTGGAGATGAGTAATTTTCAGAATCTAAGTCAGGTACTAAAAAGGGCATTTGAGTATTTGTTTTATCATCCCTGGCGTACTGCATGCTGGTAGTCATGCTGAAACAGCAGGATGAGTAAGAAAAAAATGCTTGCCAGAGGGGACTATAATCCCATGTCACTCAGCTGCTGTGCATATGTGGGAGAGGGTTGCCACAAGAGAGAAGCAGTCTTGGAGGCTTAGATCAATTCCTTTATCATCAACTTTTTCTTAAAAGTTCTGTTTCCTGACTCAGCATTTCAGATACATGTAATTTATTTTCCAAGAAAGAGGTAAGCTTAGAAGAGAAGAAGGGGACTATAAAGCAGAAATGCTATATGGAAACTGATGCTACTGCCTGACATTTCATTCATAAGCGCCTTTATTTAGATGGCTGCTTAGCTAAGAAGTGCTTGAAATCAAATCTAACCATGTGCTCTTTGATCCTTAGATTCTTGAAGTGAAAAGTCCAATAAAGCAAAGCAAAGCAGATAAGCAAATAAAGAATGGTGAATGTGACAAGGTAGGTTTCCAGCCCATTCCTGTGATGCCGCGGCCCCGATCTGACACGACTTGTTTCTCTGGGTTTCCCTCCGTCTTCCTTGTCGGTTCTCCTTCCATTGGTTCATCACAAGTACTGAGACCCCCGAAGGATGAGCCCTTCTCCCCACTGCTTTGTGGTTTCTTTTCCTGGTCTTGCTCATACCTTCAGGGTTAAGCTTAGCCTTACGCTGCTATTTGCCACGATGCCTGCATTGCCAAGGCATGTCAGGCACACTGAATTGGGAGGTAAGAAGACCGTGCTGGAGGTAGAGGGGTAAGGAATCTCTGACGTGAAGGAGCAGGCCACCTGAGTGTAGCGCAGCTTGCTTTCTGCAAATCGGCACCGTGCCTCTGAAATCTGACTTCAAGACCTGTTAGAGTCGGTCTGTTGCAGGCAGGGTCCTGACATGCCTGACAGGATGGGTATGCCTGGTTATGCTTCACACACCTTGCCTTTGCCCTCACTGCAAATCGTGCGAGGAACACCCATGGGGGCAGGCATGCTCCCAGGGACCCATGAGTCTGAGCATGTGGAAAACAAGGTGAGGTGCCCCTCTGCCCTCTCAGGGGAACTCGTGACAAACCAGATACTGACTTGGAGAGTGATATCTATCTTTCCTAGACTTTCTTCTATGTCTGTTCTGTCAGTTACTATTTACTAACAGTGTTAATATGACCAGAAACATTGGTTTTTTTTTTTTTAAGAATTTTCCCTGATACATTTGGTAATGTGCATGGATACTACCATGTTCAAAGTTAGCAGCTTTTTAACTAAGAGAAGAAAAGTTTAAGATGGAAGAATTTTTTTAAAAATGAAAGCAACCTGTGATAAGCTGTTTAGACCCACCATTTACCACTGAGTAGTACCCTTTCTTTCTGTAGAGGCATTGGTGGGACAGGGTATGCCTGCTCACTTGAATCTTCTTGAGAGCAAGTAAAATAAGAATTGCTCTCTTTTAAAAATCTGGCCTTATAGCAGTTATAGTTGGCCAAGCAAGACTTAGTCTTCAAAACCATGGATACCGAGTCCACACAGCCTAGGGTAGGGGCAGAATGGGGAACCGCCAACCACTGCTTGTATGTTCCTGTTGATTCATTCTTTTATTGTTGAACTGCTACCTAAAGTGCTTGTTCTTCTGGGGGATCATCTCTTGCAGGCCTATCTAGATGAACTGGTAGAGCTTCACAGAAGGTTAATGACGCTGAGGGAAAGACACATTCTGCAGCAGGTGAGAAATGCTTTTAGCATAACCCTTTCGAGAAGCCTCAAGGCCTCACTTGTCCTGGGCAGTGTGAGTGCCTGAAAGCCACACCAGCCCCACGCAGCCAGGACTGAGCTCATGCCACCTGCAGAAGCATCTGGGGAGGGTGTTCACTTCTGAGGCTGCCGGGAGTCTGCTCCGGTGCTTTGTGTTGACAATCTCCCTCCCGAGGTGGATGGTAAAGGGGGCACTTGTGGTGATGGTGCCGGAAGGTGCTGATCCCTCGGCTACTGGTTGCTGTGATGGGGGCCGAGGGAGCCTGTAGCAGGAATGCAGGGGCCTTTGGGGCCAGGCTTCTGGTTTCATGGGAAAACAGTGATAGGAATTCCAGTCAAGTATTGTAAACATTTGTGATTCAATTTAGTAACCTTTTGCCAGTGCTATTCTAAGGAAAATAAATATTTTCCTCATTTCTCTTATCTTGTGTAACATACATTCTATTACTATGAACTCAACTATGGAATACTTGTAGTGAGAGGAAACTTCTAGTGCATTTTGATGTTTTGGGAAGATAAGCATGGGTTTTGGTTCTAATAGAGTTACAGTACGTGTGTCCATTGCATTAAAGAGTGGTTACTGATAAAATAACTTTTTTTTTAGCACCCAAAGAAAAGGCTGTGTTCTAAATTCTAGGGTGGGGTTGTAGATGATTTCACTGTTTGAATTTTTTTTTTTTTTTACTACTTTCAAATGACTTGAAGTTAGTACTTAATCTTCCCCAGCTGTGTGTGGGTTATTTTTTTAATGTTTAATGGCTGATGGTCACATTTATATTATGTGTACATTTTTGCTTAAATCTATAAATACATACTCTCAAACTTGCCAAGTTCCCTGACTGGTCTGATAAGCTTTTAACCCTTTTTTAGTTTCAGACTTAAAAAAGAGATTACAGATCTATGATTCTTCTTTGGGAATAAGTTGTATTTCTTGCATTTCCATTTAAGTGAGTATGGGTATGGGGGCAGGATTTAAATGGCATAGGACTTACTCTCCTACATTACTGGTATTTCTCTTCAGCTTTCAGCTATAGGACAAAAATTGTCCAGCCTGCCATTTACCAATTATTTGGGGCTAATTGAATAGTGACAGTAAATCTATTAACTGGTCTTCCCATGGCTTCGTAAACACCAGTTCTGAAACCGCTGTGGAGCAGTTGTCCAATGAAACTATTAATGCATAAGCCGGGCCCGAAGAGTGAGTCTCTCAGGAGAGTGAGACAGACGTTCAGGCAGGGCTGGGACACCTTGACAAAGGAAGCCCAGCCAGTGAGTCAGGGATACTAGGCGACTGGCAGGGTCTTACCTTGGGGTGTCATTGGCATTCCCAATTTCACATCGTCCTTTAATTTGACCTTTGAAAGAATTGTGAGAAAAGATGGCTTACTTGAGAATTCCATCAAAGTGGATTATTTTAGTGTTCTAGAGGGAAAGAGTGCTATCTATGAATTTTTAACTGGGCATAAAGGCACTCCAGGGCGCCCAGTGCTTCACCCTAATTGCATTCCCAGGCTGGTTGAAAAGCTCTCAGTCTTTGGCCTTTTGCCTTGTAATGCAGCTGAGGCTTGTGATTATGATACCATGATGCATGGCCTGTCACGGTTTACTGCTTAATTAATTCCTATTGTAAAACATAGCACTATTGAGGACTAATGTTATTCTCCACCTTGAGAGCTGCTCATCTTGTGGAATGCATTCCACAAAATCTATGTGTTCGCTAGTGTACCTGAACACCTGAGACAGAATTTCTGGTGAGCCCAGGATCGCTTTCTAAGTCTTTTCCTGTTAAATGCATCCTATAAAAAAATCTGGCCTGACAATTTTATTTGGCTCACTCAAGGTGGTTAATATCTTTGTTTTACTCTAGGGGGGTGTGGTACTGGCACCAAAAGTCTATTTAATGAACAGAAAGCACTGGATCAAGAGAGTCTGTATTCTTAAGCAACTTTTCCATAAGGTCAAAATACAGGACAAGGGGACACAGTCAAATCCAGAGATTAAGTACCTATGACTGACTAATAATTTGATTATTTCTTTAAACACATTTCCACATTTATTTGGTAAGGAAAATCAAGGACTTCTAACCTCTCCAGCAGTTCAGCTCAGAGCCTGGATTTGCATCTTATTTCAGAGGGAAGAAAGCTCTCAGGGAAAACCAGGGTTCCCTTTGAAGACAGGTTAGCAGTTTAAATAACTATTGCATTTGCACTTTGAGAATTCTCTTCAGAGAGATGGGAAAACGTGATGTATCAGAGTATTCCTTCTAACAACATGGAAAACGCTCCCTGAGAAGTAGTTGTACTGAAAACGATTTTCTCCATCCTGAGAAACCGCCTGTCGTGTCTGAGAATCCCTCGTGGTTGGGCCTGACGGCCCACCTCTTAGCCAGGGCACAGCGCATGCTGTCACCTGGTGGGCAGTGCTTCCCGGTCCACAGCCAAGGCCATTCTAGAGGAACATCTAACAGCCTAGACCTGAACCCTCTCTAGGCAGAGGTGATTAAAGCAAAGCTTGTTCATTACTTCCCACTTAGTGGAGTGGCTGCTTCAAATGGAAAGAACCCTGGTTTTTTAAAAATAAAATCAGATTAAAAATAATGTATCACTTTTCTAAAATTAGAAACCTGGTTTTGGGGAAGCAGCCACAGGTTTAACAAATGGATCTTACCCTGTTTTTTTTTTTTTAAAGAAAAAAGCAGCCTTCTGGTAACCCCTAAAAGGCTGATGTGGCAGGAAATAATCCATCACAAACGTTTTCACACCAGCCATCATCTGAAGAATGAGGGAAGCAGTTTACAGATCTTTCCTTTTCCACCTACCCACACCTGCCCTGTGCCCTGCCTGCTTTTCTTACGTGCAGTCCCTCTGTCTTTCATTATGATTATTGTGCAGAGGTGTTCATTACTGCAACATGATGCAAGGTGAGGACCCCCAGGCAGAGCTGCATCAGCAGAGCAGGGGGTCCCCCAGAAAGGCAGAGAGGTGCCCTTTGGGGACGGGTGGGTGTTTTTAGGCTTTATGACTTCTGTTGTTGGAATAAAGCCTGTTAATGCTGCTTTTCTGATGATGTATCAGAATTCCTGGAAGGGAATCCGCATTTGTTTTTCTTGATGATGTCTTTACTTAATAGAAGACTTGGGCAAATGCTCAAATAATTCAAATCATTAATGCCATTCCCGTTGGCAAACAGTCCCAGAGGCCCCACTGCCGCCACTACCACCACTCTGAGGCTGTCTCTGTGTCTGCCTTGATGTATTCTTATGTGCTCCCATAAAAGCACAGGGCTCATTGAGTTAGACCGATCAAGTCCTCTTCATTCCATCTGTGTGTCGGGGGCGGGGACAGGCGGGCGGGGCTGCGGGCTGTGGAGGAGGTGGGAATTGCTGTGATGGGAGCACTGGAAACCCTGTGAGATGCCACTGGGCCAGATTTCCTAGTGGGCACATGTGTTTCTTTGCTTTAAAATCAAGTGGCTTTTACTAGAAAGTATTTTTATTGGTCTGTTTTCTATTTATTGTTAAGTAATTAGTGAGCAGCTATATTGAGTCACAGAAAGCTTCTCTTAAAAGGGTGAGTTACCTGATATTTTAAAGGGAAAATGTAGGGCTGTACTTTAACAAACCACATTGTAGTTTTAGTTGGTCATTTCAACTATATACTTCATCTGCTGTTCTCGCTTTCTTTCTTCCCTTCTCCTTGTGAACTTTTATTATAATTATTATTTTTTAATTCAAGTAAGCCTTCCTGAGTTGCAGCTTCCCGCATTTTCCCTGCTTCATTTGTTTTAGTGTTAATGAAATGGCTATGAGTCAGTGAGGAGAGGAGAAGGCACTGGATCTAATCATTCATGTTCTCTTTAGTTACCTCCCAAATAATTAAGGATACTTTTTTATTTGCATGGTAATCATGATCATGTTGCCCCGATCTGTATAGAAGTTTACAGATTATAAATTTATAAAGGAGCTTCATTTATTGTATCTTATTTTGATCCTCTGTACAACCTTGTATGACAGAACAAGGTGACGTTATCTCCATTTTCCAGATGAGGAAACAGACTAAGAGGTTATCATGTTCTGTCCAATGTCATTCAAATAATGAGCAGAGTCAAAACTTGATATGCTCAATTCAGGACTCTCCATTCTGAATACTTTGTTATTTACCTGCTGGCCAGCTGGCTGGGGAGAGGAGTCTCACTCTGGAATAACTGTCTTTTGCCTCCATTGTGTACCCTGAGAGGCTGTTTGTTTCTATCTGAAAGAGCTCTCTGAAGAGGCTCTTGTTTCTATCCTGAAGTTTAAACACTTTTCTGAGGTCTATATTATTTCTATACAATATAGAAAAAAAAGATAATTCTGGAAAATACTCGATTTCTACTGATGTTAAATATATAGTATTTGATTGTCTCAAGAGGTTTTTTTATGTGGTGGGTATGTGTGTAGATATGTGGGGGGTCACTTAGCCAAAGCTCTGTTAACTAATGAAACAGGGTCTGTTTTAGACCATTTAGTGTTGATATATTCTTATGTAAGTGTAATACTTTAACCATAATTGGGAATACCCCTAAATCTCATGATGCATGTAATAGAGCCTGGTCTGGTGGTTTGAGCAAGTATAGCTCCATCTCAGCCCCTTCATATAATACTAGGCCTGGAAGTAACTCATGGTTCATGTGGTGGCTTAAAAGATGCCACTGAGGATGTGGCCTCCTTGCCTTCTTGCTGTGCCATCTTCCACATCTTGCATTCATCAGCTTGAGGGAGGGCTGCTGCACTTCCAGGATTGCATCTTCACTACAGACAGGAAGAAAGGCCGAGGGCAAAAAGCACATGCCCATGGTCCATACCCTTGTTGAAAATTTCCTGGAAGCTCAGTGACTTCTGGCAAGTAAATTATAAATATCAGTATCTGCCAAATGCTGCAAGTGGATCTGGGAAGGCAAACCTTTTAGCTGCACGTTTCCACTCCTAGAAAACTCAAGCTTCTGTCAGTAAAGAAGAAGGGATAAACAGATATTAGCAGGCAGTTTGCTGTGTCGGTCATGGTTTTGTAATGGGAGTAACTTTGCTTTATTATTAAACCCATAGTTATATCTTAAAAAAAAAAAAAAGTAGTTCCAGAGGTTGACTAAAGCAGTAACAGCTCAGTCTGAAGTTGTGCAATTAACTGGACTGAGGTTCAGTATGTCTTCTATGCCTCAGTGAAAGGTGAATTATGTCAGGAACACTTCTTTCTATTGAGAGCCACTGCTCCAAAGGGAATAGGGCACAAATTTACTGTTTTAAGAAAACTAATGCTAAGAAGAGAAGGTCAAAAGTTTCTGTTTTCAACCTGAAATTAGGTGACTCTAAAACTTAGTTGAATAAATAGTAAATAAAAAATAAGCTAAGTAATTAAAATTTTTCTTAAGGTTACTAAAGAGAATCAGACACAAGCGATACAGAGGGACAGAGACAACTAAAAATAAGTAGAAAAGTTCACCAGTTATTTTCTCTGCAGAGTTATTTTTTCTTTCATCCTGATGCTGATTTTCTTGTCTTCCCCCAAAAGCTTACTAAAATGAACCATCGCAGTTTGCCCACAGCACAGCTACCAAAAAAAACATACTACCCAGGCACAATGCTCATTTCCAACAAAATTATTAGTAAAACAGAAATGGAAAGACATATAACGTAATAAAGTTTCTCTGAAACCAATAGCCAACATCATTCTTAATGTTGAAACCTTAGAGGGTCCTCCTGAGAGCCAGGATGAGACAGCAGCACCTCTGTCACCACATTTGTTTATCATATTTCTGAAAACTGGAGCCAATACAATAAGAAATGAAGTGCAGCTATTCCAGATGGAGAGACAAAGGCATCCTTTCTCTTTCTAGGTAATACTTACACCCCCAAATACTCAAGGGAATCAACTAAACATGACTATAAATTATAAATATAAGTTTTCACTCATATTTTGTCAAAGTATAACAAAATGTCCAGATACATGAATTTTAACATAATGAATGCACCTTTTGTAGCCAGCACCCAAATCAAGCAACAGGGCAGTTTCAGCACCTCAGAGCTCCCGGCAGCCCTCTTTCAGTCACTACACATGATCTTACAGGGTGGGATGTATGTGGTTTCTGTTCTTTCTTTTGCAGGTTCTTGTAATCTCTAAATTTTCAATAATTAATAAAAAAGAAAAATGATTATATATATGTGTTTATGCATGTGTGTGTATAGTTCATAGGAAGTTTTATTATTATCTAGGCTGGATTTCTTTACATCTATTAAGTATAATCTATCTTTTGAGTCAGTAACTAATTTTTAAAGGGGTCTTGAAATCCTATCTCCCCCTAAGTACCAACTCCCACTCCCACCTCTACAGTAAAATAGGGTCTGTTGATGACTTGAAAGCAGGGATCAGTTTAAGGGATATGAATGAGAAGAACAGAATGATAACAGGTAGTTTGCTCTCATTGAGAATTACATAGGGTTTAGTATTCCTTTGGCTTACCAAATTGGCTAAGAGATAGATGGGCCACAAATGGTATAGAGCCTTCTTGCTATAAGTCAGAGTATCAATCACTTGGTTCCTTATTTACTCCCCTCCCCCCTCTCTTTCTCTCTGCCTTTTGATGTCTGTTGTTTATTGCCCAAACTGTCTCTTCTTTGCTCCTTTAGATTGTGAACCTTATAGAAGAAACTGGACACTTTCATATCACAAACACAACATTTGATTTTGACCTTTGCTCGCTGGACAAAACCACAGTCCGTAAACTACAGAGTTACCTGGAAACATCTGGAACATCCTGAGGATACAACAACTGGATGCATCAGAAACTATTGTTTTTTTTTTTTTTGGTTGTAATTTTTTGTTTGTTTGTTTATAAGAAAACACTCAGAATGATGCAACCAAAAGGGAAAAAATAAAAATCAAACAACCTTCAGCTTTATTTTTCTTTAAAGCCAGTCATCATCTCTTGATAAAGGAGAGGTTAAGCAAACCAGCCTCAGCGGACCACTCTTCTCTCCAAGGAAATCCCCGGGAAGAGTTAGCCTGGATAGCCTTGAAAACAAACACATCAAACACAACACAAGAAAACAAAGAATGTGTATGGTATCACGTATCTCTCTCTGTGGTGGTTCATTCCACAGGACAAATGCATATTCAACACACTGCCTTATTACATAACTGATCTATTTATTATCGCATACAGATATTCTAAAGTCGTTGAGGGAATGACACCACAAGACATTCTAAGTACTTGGTCCCACGGATGCTCTTTCAATGCAGCGCCCTTGCCGTCCCAAGCCCAGTGACCTTACTTGTATACCGTGCCACTCTCCGCCAACTTCTTCCAAGCCCTCTAACTTGTTGCAGTCTGTATTTTCCACCTTTTGTTTTTCCAGTTCCAGGACACAGATGATCAACTGGGGGGACCAAATAGCTACACCAGTTTTCTTATTTGTGGTCTTTTTCCTGAAAGTTGGGGCCCAGACCTTGGCTGTATCCATATAATGATCTTGAACCATGGTAGAAAATGCACCAAATAGGATCATATGAGTTGCTGTCTAGCCTTAGTCGATAAACCTGTAGGACTTTTAAACGAAAGTGTACCTGTAAATGTCCTGCAGCCAGCATTGTTGAGCTGTCATCAACATTCTTGTGTCTGTTTTACTGTTAAAATATTAGATAAATATGCAAGTAAAGGCATTCCACAGGATCATCATTTTTAAAAAGGAATTCTGGTTCTGTTTTCTAAAGAAATGTTGTAGAAATTCTGATTTGGATCTATTTATTAGTAAGATTTCAGCTTTCTCCATCTGTCAGTGTGTTATCCATCTTTACCATAAAACCTGGAGTAAGAGATTTTTGTTTGTTCATGTATGATCCTCTTAGACTCTTTTATATTTGGAAAATTAAAATCTTTGGGGGAAAATTCCTGGTTATTCTGCCATGACAGATTATGTATTAACTTGTAGATTCAGTGGTTCGATACCTGTTTAGTCACTTGCTTATGTTTCCAGAAGGATTTCTTGTATTGGTGAAAATAAAGATGGTTGGGGAGGGGGGATATTTTTGTTCTTGATGTACCCTGTTTTGAAACTAGAAATCTGTCCTGTGGCATGCAAAAGAAAGCAAATTATTTTTAAAAGAAAAAAAAAAACCAAAGTACTTTTGGTGTCATTATTCCATCCTCTCCATACATGGAGAAATGCAAAAGAGAACAGCTCATCTTCAGGTTTCTGCTAGGAACTCAACCGAAAAGAAACAAAATGAAGACATACTCCTGGATCCAAAGGTTCGTTCAAAGTATAACAAAATGTCCAGATACATGAATTTTAACATAATGAATGCACCTTTTGTAGCCAGCACCCAAATCAAGCAACAGGGCAGTTTCAGCACCTCAGAGCTCCCGGCAGCCCTCTTTCAGTCACTACACATGATCTTACAGGGTGGGATGTATGTGGTTTCTGTTCTTTCTTTTGCAGGTTCTTGTAATCTCTAAATTTTCAATAATTAATAAAAAAGAAAAATGATTATATATATGTGTTTATGCATGTGTGTGTATAGTTCATAGGAAGTTTTATTATTATCTAGGCTGGATTTCTTTACATCTATTAAGTATAATCTATCTTTTGAGTCAGTAACTAATTTTTAAAGGGGTCTTGAAATCCTATCTCCCCCTAAGTACCAACTCCCACTCCCACCTCTACAGTAAAATAGGGTCTGTTGATGACTTGAAAGCAGGGATCAGTTTAAGGGATATGAATGAGAAGAACAGAATGATAACAGGTAGTTTGCTCTCATTGAGAATTACATAGGGTTTAGTATTCCTTTGGCTTACCAAATTGGCTAAGAGATAGATGGGCCACAAATGGTATAGAGCCTTCTTGCTATAAGTCAGAGTATCAATCACTTGGTTCCTTATTTACTCCCCTCCCCCCTCTCTTTCTCTCTGCCTTTTGATGTCTGTTGTTTATTGCCCAAACTGTCTCTTCTTTGCTCCTTTAGATTGTGAACCTTATAGAAGAAACTGGACACTTTCATATCACAAACACAACATTTGATTTTGACCTTTGCTCGCTGGACAAAACCACAGTCCGTAAACTACAGAGTTACCTGGAAACATCTGGAACATCCTGAGGATACAACAACTGGATGCATCAGAAACTATTGTTTTTTTTTTTTTTGGTTGTAATTTTTTGTTTGTTTGTTTATAAGAAAACACTCAGAATGATGCAACCAAAAGGGAAAAAATAAAAATCAAACAACCTTCAGCTTTATTTTTCTTTAAAGCCAGTCATCATCTCTTGATAAAGGAGAGGTTAAGCAAACCAGCCTCAGCGGACCACTCTTCTCTCCAAGGAAATCCCCGGGAAGAGTTAGCCTGGATAGCCTTGAAAACAAACACATCAAACACAACACAAGAAAACAAAGAATGTGTATGGTATCACGTATCTCTCTCTGTGGTGGTTCATTCCACAGGACAAATGCATATTCAACACACTGCCTTATTACATAACTGATCTATTTATTATCGCATACAGATATTCTAAAGTCGTTGAGGGAATGACACCACAAGACATTCTAAGTACTTGGTCCCACGGATGCTCTTTCAATGCAGCGCCCTTGCCGTCCCAAGCCCAGTGACCTTACTTGTATACCGTGCCACTCTCCGCCAACTTCTTCCAAGCCCTCTAACTTGTTGCAGTCTGTATTTTCCACCTTTTGTTTTTCCAGTTCCAGGACACAGATGATCAACTGGGGGGACCAAATAGCTACACCAGTTTTCTTATTTGTGGTCTTTTTCCTGAAAGTTGGGGCCCAGACCTTGGCTGTATCCATATAATGATCTTGAACCATGGTAGAAAATGCACCAAATAGGATCATATGAGTTGCTGTCTAGCCTTAGTCGATAAACCTGTAGGACTTTTAAACGAAAGTGTACCTGTAAATGTCCTGCAGCCAGCATTGTTGAGCTGTCATCAACATTCTTGTGTCTGTTTTACTGTTAAAATATTAGATAAATATGCAAGTAAAGGCATTCCACAGGATCATCATTTTTAAAAAGGAATTCTGGTTCTGTTTTCTAAAGAAATGTTGTAGAAATTCTGATTTGGATCTATTTATTAGTAAGATTTCAGCTTTCTCCATCTGTCAGTGTGTTATCCATCTTTACCATAAAACCTGGAGTAAGAGATTTTTGTTTGTTCATGTATGATCCTCTTAGACTCTTTTATATTTGGAAAATTAAAATCTTTGGGGGAAAATTCCTGGTTATTCTGCCATGACAGATTATGTATTAACTTGTAGATTCAGTGGTTCGATACCTGTTTAGTCACTTGCTTATGTTTCCAGAAGGATTTCTTGTATTGGTGAAAATAAAGATGGTTGGGGAGGGGGGATATTTTTGTTCTTGATGTACCCTGTTTTGAAACTAGAAATCTGTCCTGTGGCATGCAAAAGAAAGCAAATTATTTTTAAAAGAAAAAAAAAAAACCAAAGTACTTTTGGTGTCATTATTCCATCCTCTCCATACATGGAGAAATGCAAAAGAGAACAGCTCATCTTCAGGTTTCTGCTAGGAACTCAACCGAAAAGAAACAAAATGAAGACATACTCCTGGATCCAAAGGTTCGTTCACTGGATCAGCCTTAAAGTCTCTATGTGTGCTAATAGACCCATATGTATCTCCCTTGTTTATTCCCACGCCAGATGCTGTCTTTTCATACTGAGATTAACTAGTGTCTGTGTAGAAAATAGTTTTTCCAGACCCATTCTTTTGGGCAGTAATGTAAATGCAGATAGATAATGGGAGTTATTTCTGCATTTTCAAAAGGGGATTTTTTTTACATTGTTTCTTTCTATCCAAAGGCACTATTTTCTCCTTTAAAAGATTATTATACAGCCATGCTCCTTGTAAAATTACTTCTCTGAAGAGTCCTCCCTGAGGACAAGTGTACTTTTTCAGTAATGTTATGATTCTTGATTGGCATGAACAGTCCTTGAAGCAATTCTCAGTGTTTCACTGCAGAGAAGCTTTCTGAGTCGTTTGGGACATTAGGTGGCTGATGAGTCGTGTGGTTTGAGTTGTGTTTTGTCTTGTTTGATCATCACAGGTGAAAGGCGAGGCCAGTGCTGATCTGGAAGCATTTGCAAAATTTAAAAATCTTTTAAGATTTCTAACTGTTGATCCACATATTCAAATTAAGCCACAAATTGATGTGATTTAAGATATCTGTAGTTTAGCTAGAAATGTATATATGTAGTTTGGGCCACTTTAATTTTTGTAACTCAATCAAGCAGCAAAAACTATGATTTGACAGTGTAAAGAGTTTTCGTTCTTTAGGTTACTAACCAAGAAACTCGGTAACATAAGTAGTGACCTAACAAGAAGGGAAGCTATTACATGGAAAACTTTAGGCCTGACATTTAGGTAATGATATCATCAAAATGAAAGTTTGTAAATTGGTCACAATATTCAGGGAAACATACCGTCTGCTACTCACGGAGACAGCAAAATCCATTCCCGTAAAATCCCAGGAGAGAGAGAGTCACATTGCTGATGTTTCATGTGCTGTGTTCTTGCTCTCATCTAAATTTTAAATGCAGAAATAATAAATCCTTTTTCAATTACTTTCAAATAGTTATATTTCCCTTAAAGTAACCCACTCAGTTCTGCCACACTTACGTGCGTTCATCTTTGAAACTTGTTAAGATGCATTTTTGGCACATGTATATCCTAACAGTGGCTTTGGTTTTTTTAAGCACAAAGGAAAAATGGCAGGGTTTAATTTCTTTGGTGTATATATATATATATATATATATATAAATAGATGTTTCAAATAAAATTAATTGGGTGAATGTGAATATGGCTTTAGCCAGCCAGAGTATGATAAACTTTCTTTAAATTTCCCCCAATACTTGGAGGGGAAAAGAAATGTATGTACAGAACTTGTTCTTTACCCCTTGTTAATGAGCTTTTGTCTCTGGTTTTGCAGCAGGAACTGTGTGAGAGGGGATGCTTCTATCTTAGCATACAGCAGTCAGTGTTAGCAACAAAAAATGTTAGCAGTTATTTTGTATCTTTACCATAATCCCTTGTTCTTTATGTAGACAAATAGGTATGTCTCTATATGGTGGCAAATTATGTCGAAGTGGGGATAAACAGGAACTTCAGATCAGGAGACAAAAGCTCTAGAAGAAAAATATAAGAGTGTCCTAAACATTTTTAAATTGCTGAGCAAATCTCTCTAATCTGAATAATTATCTTTTTGTGGAAAGGGCCAATAAAATTGGTTTTCTTCCACTTACACCAAAGATGTTTCTACTGATACCTTTTACAGATGCAGCTGATCTTTAAAAAAAAAGATAGTCTAGGCCTGTATAACATCCACATACAGTTTCAAGCCCCACACATAGTTAACAAGTTAACATACTTGTGTAAGAGAGACTTCACTCTTAAATGTTTTAACTCTACCTAGGTAATGGAGTTGGATGTTCAGTGTTGGAAATGGTTGGTGTTTGTGTTTGGTAGCTTGTGTTTATTTTTCTCTCTGTGCAAGTGATCAGCTCAGGAGCAGCTTGCTGTATGCTCATTACTTTGCGCCTTTAGCATTTCATGTGCTAATGCTATGTACTGCACATGCACACAAACACACAGAATCTTGATTTGGACTCCTGCTCTAAAACTAGGACTATGATGTAGAGCCTACTACAGCTGCACGAATGTGGAAGAGTCGATTCCTGTGGGTTAGTCTTGGACTGGGAGTCTACATCCTTGACCTCTTTTGTTTTATATGATGCTTTTAATCATGTAGGCGCTGCCATCCCTGAATATTCCTTGTAAAGATGCATTGAGGAAGTCAATTTCAAAGGAAGTCAAAGCCACCCCTGTCTGTAAACTGTAAATATGTATTTTGGCACTTGTGCTCCAGTGTTCTGAAAATAGAGTCATGACGGAAATGCTGACAGATCCTTACCAGTGGCCAGAGCTACCATGCAGTGCAAAAATAAATTAAGTAAAAATGTGTTCTTGAGATTAACAATGCGAGGCCATAAGTTTTATAGATCTGTCCGTATCTTTTCTAATGGAGTGTGATGTGTAGTTATGTTGAAAGATACACTGTATATGTGTGTGTAGATGCTATTATGTGAACTACAAGGCATTCATAAGATGTATTTCCCATCTCTAAAACCTATGTTGAAATGTGAGTACAGAACGAC